AAAGAATAAAAACTTTTGCTGAAAGAACAAAATTTAACCTTTGCTACTAACTAATCAAAATTGAAAAATGGCTTTATTTTTCTGAAAAATAAAGCAATTTGATACATATAACAAATATTATTTATAGCATTTTTGAGACATTCATTTATTATCGCCCACTATTTGTCGAAAGATCAAAGAAATGCGACTAGCTCCCTTAATTTGGTATCACTTACACCGAAAATTAGTTTCAGTTCATCAAATTCCACCCTTGACGGCATATTCTGGCGAAGTTAAACACATTTTCACAATTTAACGGCCAATGCAATAAGGTTTGATTTAACAGTTTCGGTATAAAACTCAGACCTTTAGTGGGAATTTTTTCTTCTTATTACAAGTAATTGTGAAAATCAGCGAGCATAAAATTTCCTGTCCCGATTTCCCATTTTAATCAGTTCGCACCACAAGATATATACGTAAAGATGCGGGATTTTCTTTGAATAGGTGCTCAAATCTACGTATTAAATACCTTTTCAGTATTGTTCCGTTGTCAGAACGTCGAAGCATTATTCGTACTATGTTCAATTTATTCAAATGATCTTTATTGAACCCAAAATACATCAATTTGTATATATATATATATAGTAATGATTAATACATCCTTTTGAAATAATGAAGTTCGTAACGAAGGACGACGTTCCTAGTCTTTTTTACCGAAATTTCCTTATATTTCATCAAGATCCTTATGGTGAAAAAAAATTCATTTGGTGTAAACAGGGAGGACTTTTTTCTTTAGTTATTTGCAAGTATTTTATGAAATTTTCTTTACCGCATATAACTTTTAAACAACAAGAATTCATTTTGCTCAAAAATTAAATTACATTATTACCTTTTCCTAAGCTTTCTCCAAATTCCAAAATTCTAGGATAATTACGCTAGATTTGACTGCTTTGGCCAAAAATCGAACATGTTAGTGGGCATCTCTCTCCCTCCCTATTACGTACTGATAGCAGAGAGAGAGAGAGAGAGCGAGAGGAAGAGGGAGCTGAAGAGATAGATTCGGTTAGTCCACCAATTGGTAAATACATCCAGCAGAAGTCCCTGGCCAAAAATTGAACGTGTTAGTGGACATCTCTCTCCCTCTTACTTACTGCTTGCAGGTCAGAAAGAGAGAAAGAGCTAACGGGATAGATTACATTAGTCTCAAATTGGTAAATACATCCAGTAGGAGACATTTTAAAAAGCTTCGGCTTCGAATTTGCCACTAGGGTATATTAAAATTGTGACATTGAGTGCCAGACTAAGCATTAACAATTTTACAGAAGGCAGTAGTAATTTACATTAAGTAGAATCGTAAACGTAATAACAATTTATTTCAAATTAACTAATTTCTAGGGTTTTATAGTTACCATTGCTTATTTTATTATTGTTGTATAAGACTTGAGATAAATTTGATTCCTTAAAATTTACTCTTAGTTCCTGTATATTTGTATAGTTATTTCAGTTGTTCTCCTCTTCATTTTTGCAGCAACATTACAAATTGTGGTGTGCTATTAGTCATGATTACTTTTCTCTCTTTTTAGTTGAACTGAATGGTAGGTAGGTAATAGTTGTTGTTATCATAAAGTGATAAAAATGAGTACCATTTTAGAAGCGCTAGAAACTTTAGAGAGGTATTGCAGTTGTGGAAGCGTTTACCCTTCCACACCTTTGAAGTTTAACATGATGCAATTTGTTACCGAATTGTTCTACTTTGGAAAGTGGTGAAGCTTGGTAGTTGTATAACGGCGGTTGAAGAGCCAGTTGTCAGAACGATATTTCCAACAAAGAATTGTGAACTTTACGCGCTTCCACCGAAAATGTAAGCCATCGAACTCGGCAAGCGATCTTGTCAGTACGTGTTTTTGTTTAAGCAAACCAATTATAAGACTGTTGAACTGAACAACGCGGTTATTAACATTGATATAAATGCAACGCAATACTACGTTCCAAAAAGTAAGCTTAATGTCAATTAAATTCGCGAATGGAGCATTTTAATTGTTTGAAATTAATTTCGTCCTCACATTTCTAACAGTGTGCATATAATGACAGTTGTACGTGAATATTTAAAGGCGATCGTTTTAAAATAATTCCAAGTGAATTTCTAGTTGGATAAACGTTCCTAATAGAAACTTCCTTTTGAAATTAAAGTTTTAATACAAGTGCATATACCATCGTCGTACGGTGTATTGTCTAATCTCGATTAATGCACGAGATGAGAACGCTATAAGTGTTTTTCGTGCAACTCAAGCAAGGGTTCTAACTAGCATCCTATTGTTTTTGTAAGCACAGTTACTAGCGCATCGTTCTCATACACATTTAAATACAACTTAACTGTCTACCGTCATTCAATTTAATATGAGTGCTTAAACTTTAAGTGAAGTTTTGTGCCTTTGCTAATACACCACCAACAGTTTCACATTTTTCACACGAACACTCCTGAATCCTCACAGAGATAATAGCCTAAATTTCCTTAAAACTAGAACAACCCACATCCTTAACTATTTACTAACAGTAATCTAATCTAGGCCTACCTGTGCCCCTCCTGACTCCTGTTTATGCCTCTAATATGTCTCTGGCTAGACCTTCATGCCTGAGAAGGTGTCCTAGCAACGTATCTCACCTGTTTCTTATAGACTTCCATAGAGTCCTCTGTTCTCCTATTCGTTCCAATATCTCTATCCACGGTATCCTCATCATTCGCCTGTAACACCACATTTCGAACGCTTCTAACTTTTAGTTTTAATGTTATGTTATAGATTAGTAGAAACGAATATTTCTACTAATGTTAGATCTAGAACAAATCGTAATAGGTAATATTCCTTTATCATATTTTTACCTGTCATGGATTAAAATTATCCTGTCCATTAATGAAGAAAGCCATTTAGCTGTTTGAATGTAGCGTGTATCATCTAAGGCCTTTTTTGTTATTGAAAGTCGACAAAAAGGCCCTTTATTCTTTCGCTGAATATAAACAATGATATGGTCCTGTGTATAAACAGCAATTTTAGCTGCGCCCTTTATTATCTCTACGTAGGGTGTTTCTCCCTAAACAGGGTAAGTAACGACTTGAGAACTTCTCTTCCGAGAACATGCTCGGATATTATAACTCAAGGGGTTGACTGGTCCAATAGGCAGTTTACTAAAAATGAAAAGGTTGTTCGCCCTTCCTCAAAAAATAATAGTACTTACACATTCAATAACATAACACATACGATAACTAATAAGATTGGTATTTTTCAGCAACTCGGTTAAAAAAAAACGCTATCAAAAAGCAGAGATGTGATTTATTTGAAATACTTGCATTTAAAATGCAAATACAATATAAAAAATTCCAACTTTTATCTTGCATTTAAATACTCTTTTGAGAAAAGCATTTNTCGGTTAAAAAAAAACGCTATCAAAAAGCAGAGATGTGATTTATTTGAAATACTTGCATTTAAAATGCAAATACAATATAAAAAATTCCAACTTTTATCTTGCATTTAAATACTCTTTTGAGAAAAGCATTTTGTGCTTTATTTTTAAATTATTTTTATTTAAAATAATTTTCCAAACGTATTTTCTATTTGTAAAATGCAAAAGACATTTTAGCCGTTAAAAGTTTTCCTAGTATCACCGATCAAACATTACATTACATTATATTAAAAAGGGGATAAGGAGGCATTCTTTTAATTCTTTAACTGAAGAGAGCCAAAAAATTCTAAACTCCGTGGAAATTGATAATCTAAAATGTTGGATCGATATTATTTTCCGGGTTCAGTGTCATGGTCCATGGAATTTTGCAGTTCCAAATTGATATCAGCACCTGCCAAATCACCACTTATCGTACTTTTAGCAAGAAACTACGAAATTCTATGAATTACGACAAAATAGCCTGCAAAACAATATCGAATTGATACACCTGTGTAAAACAGAAAACTACAAGATATTGTGGTGTGCTAATAAATGCGTATAATCCAAAATTCATAGGAAACGATTCGAAAAACTTCACTTATTAGATGAACCCAAAGCTAATAAAACTATGGATTCCGTTTCATTCTCTTATTACAATGTGTAAAAGATCAGAAAGAAAATTGGGTTGTAAATATTTTGATATAAAATGATTGACGTTGATTTTACATCAATAAAATTATCTGCAACCCTATTTTGGCTCTGATCTTTCACGCTAAACAAACGATTTGATATGAAAAAAGAAATATATTGAGCATTTTACTCTGCGAAAATGTGTTACGTTTAATCCATAATAAAAGCTCTGCAAAGAATATTTTATGGTTGTATAAGAGACCACCTACAAAATAAATCATCACGAGTACAGCAAGTTTCAGTAACTCCGGCTTCTTATTTTCTTTTTGCTGTAAAATATGCAGGCTAGTAAAAATGCGATATTAGATTTTCGTTCTATTTACAACTATAACTTAAACACTGGCGTAATAAACTACTTGCCAGTTCTGTAGTTTTTAAAGTCTTTATATTTATTTTGTTCATAAATTTTTTTAAAGAAACTTTTGTGGCTAGTAATTTTATCAAGTACAATTCTGTTTTTTATACCTTTTCTGATACATTACATTTTATTTTAAAGTGGCTAACATTATTAATTATTANATAGACTGGAACACCGCTATGAGAAATGTATCAGCCTTGGAGGAGATTATGTTGAGAAATAAAAAAAAAAAATTTTTAAAAACCTTGTTTTTCTTGGTCAGGCCGGAAACTTATCAATCCACCCTCGTATAGCGGTCGCGTTCATAATTTGCATAGGTACAACATATACAAGTTTGAAGAATATTTTCTCATAATAGAGCCAAATTATTCAGACCGTGTGCATCTAATGTTCAGGAACTTTAATCGTTTCTATTACTTGTTGAAAAAAATATGAATGTTTAATGTGTGAAACTTCAGAAAGGTGTAATTACTGGAGTCGAGGACAGTGAAAACGATGTGTAAACACAGAAATTCTATATGGCAGGTATGAATAATAATAAAACAAAAATTTACCGACAGACAATATCGAACGAAATTTATATATCTAGTAACAGTTTTTCAATATTTGCAAAATTGCTGTTTTATATTCGTCCAATGCAGTTCACGATAACGCAGGTAATAAATGTTTTCTATACAATTCAAAAATGTTATATATCTAATGTCAATTTAAATATTAAATAATATCAAAATAAATTGGTTCAGAAATAAAAAATTGTCAGAGTAAATTTTTACATGTAGGTATATATAAAATCAATATCCATACCTTAATCATTTTTTTAAGTTGTAACGTATAATCCAGAAGCAATAAATATTGAAAAGTCACACAAAGTTGAATAAGAGTATACACACGCGTACAATTGGACGCAGTGTCTAACGCATTGCACTGACGATTTAAAAAAAAATAGCAGAGTAGAAATCCACCTTAGGTGAGTCTACCAAGGTAAAACTGGAAGGCAAGTGTACTGGTCTTGCTCCAGTCAAGGTTCAATTACAGGTAAAAGTGAATTGAAACGTTGCATAACTCGGTTAATTTCGATAATGTCTTTAAAATACCTTCCAAGTCTTCCAAAGATACCACTGTATATGAAATTTAGTTTAAGAACACGATCATGTCCAGTTCGTCGATATGAATATTCATCTACAGAAGCTATCGAGTATCAATATCATGTTGCATTTGCTGATACTATCGATACCGATTTGTTAGCTTATCGATATAATTTCATCTGCAAATACTTCCGATATGGTTATCGTTTGATTTGCGGATTCAATCGATACCGACCTGTTAGGGGACACTACCGTTATTGATTCAATTGTATACACCATCTATATTGGTCTTTTTGCTGTAATCTCCGATATCGATTCATTTGCGTGAGACCTATCAGAACTACCACTTAATCCATTTATTGATATTTGAATGGCAACCAAGGGATTCTATTGTCTTAAAAATCAGTATTACTGCCCCTGAAACTGACTGAATTTGCTGTAGAAATAATAAAATTTGTTAGATAACTTATAATAATCTCAATTTTGACATCTTTTTTTAAAAATTATTTTAAGTTTCTTAATTATTACAATTTAATTTGTAATATCAACTAAAGTACCTATTAAATTTATTTCTGCTGGGATTTAATTTTTGCATATTCGGGTCCAAATTGTATTTTTTTTTATTTTCGCTTACGAAGCAACTGGCTAATAGGATAAATTGTAAATATCGCTGTAATATTTAGGTAAATTTTCCTTATACATATTCTGCGTGTATTTCTAACCAAATCAACAGATCTTAAAGAGTCCACTGTGATTATAAAAATGTATATACACCATGTACAACTAATTTTTTCTCAAGGGATGACTCCACGGCTCAAAAGGATTGCAATCCCGATAAATATTTTCAATCGCGGCACTTGCGAGACCGGAATTTCTAATCCTGCTACCAGAGCCCTGTATTACCGGGATTTCACAGGATGAACGCGATAATGTTGTCGTTAAAATGATAGAGCGATTTATTGATTTTGTAAGTTAATTTTACGAAAATGTTGCATTTAGAAAGTACACCTGCGTATATATTATAAATATATTACAATTATTACGTTATTAAAAACTGTAAATATTGAGTTAAAAGTTGTACCTATATACGTATCTATTTCGTCTTTCCATTTTGTTGCGGAAAAAACATCCTTTAGACCAATGAAGCGTGTTTTTCTACACCGTGAGTCAAGCAACAAAAAAATCTCATTGTTTAAAAGAAATTGTTTGTCAAGGACAGTAAAGCCTTAATCGTGTATTAAGTATAAGAAGTATGCAAAATAAAACAGCAGAATAATTCAAACAGTGAACAATTAATTAACAACAATAAACAAAGGAGGCTATTAGATTCCAACTTATTATGTATACGCTAGTGGCAAGTTGAGAACCGAACATAAATTTATTGTATTGTATGCTATCATTAATAAGGAACATTATCATCTTTTCATATTAATAAATTTCTTTGTTCGATGACCAATTTCCCTTACTTGTATATGTATAACGTTAGGTTAAGTGTGTTATTAATGAATTATTTCAGTTAGTGTTAATTATAATAAATACAAAAGAATAAAAACTTTTGCTGAAAGAACAAAATTTAACCTTTGCTACTAACTAATCAAAATTGAAAAATGGCTTTATTTTTCTGAAAAATAAAGCAATTTGATACATATAACAAATATTATTTATAGCATTTTTGAGACATTCATTTATTATCGCCCACTATTTGTCGAAAGATCAAAGAAATGCGACTAGCTCCCTTAATTTGGTATCACTTACACCGAAAATTAGTTTCAGTTCATCAAATTCCACCCTTGACGGCATATTCTGGCGAAGTTAAACACATTTTCACAATTTAACGGCCAATGCAATAAGGTTTGATTTAACAGTTTCGGTATAAAACTCAGACCTTTAGTGGGAATTTTTTCTTCTTATTACAAGTAATTGTGAAAATCAGCGAGCATAAAATTTCCTGTCCCGATTTCCCATTTTAATCAGTTCGCACCACAAGATATGTACGTAAAGATGCGGGATTTTCTTTGAATAGGTGCTCAAATCTACGTATTAAATACCTTTTCAGTATTGTTCCGTTGTCAGAACGTCGAAGCATTATTCGTACTATGTTCAATTTATTCAAATGATCTTTATTGAACCCAAAATACATCAATTTGTATATATATATATATAGTAATGATTAATACATCCTTTTGAAATAATGAAGTTCGTAACGAAGGACGACGTTCCTAGTCTTTTTTACCGAAATTTCCTTATATTTCATCAAGATCCTTATGGTGAAAAAAAATTCATTTGGTGTAAACAGGGAGGACTTTTTTCTTTAGTTATTTGCAAGTATTTTATGAAATTTTCTTTACCGCATATAACTTTTAAACAACAAGAATTCATTTTGCTCAAAAATTAAGTTACATTATTACCTTTTCCTAAGCTTTCTCCAAATTCCAAAATTCTAGGATAATTACGCTAGATTTGACTGCTTTGGCCAAAAATCGAACATGTTAGTGGGCATCTCTCTCCCTCCCTATTACGTACTGATAGCAGAGAGAGAGAGAGAGAGAGAGAG